AGTTGAGCAAAGGTGGATGACTGCAAACATAAACAAAAAGGGATTTATGCCTAATACATAATTATAGTGCGTCGTAACACGATCGCGATGATGTGTGAACTAATAAGTTACGTAAGAAGCGTGTATCAGGGCAATATAATTAATCTAAAAACAGAAAATGGTCTAAATATTAGATATGATAATGTTTCTTCTTTGCTGTATCAAATTATAGAATATCAGGCCGTGGGAAAGAATTGCTCGTGTGTATGTCTTTAAGAAACGTAAATATGTAGTGAAGAAGTTCTCTGTTTGAACATTACTATAACAAAAACTTAATACAACAGTGGAATGCCACTGTTGTATTAAGTTTTTTGACTTCATGCATTTAAAAAAAAAAAAATTTTTAAGCGAATTCTCAAAAGTTTTTCCGCTTAGATGAAGTAGGTATAATTATACCCTCTTTTTTTCTTAGCATGAGAAGAGATAATACTTAGAAATCTCCCCCACACAAGAAAAAAACAAATAAACAGATTTTTACCGGCTTATATAGCACAATTATGCGGAGATACGCAACATTGTTTTATCGCCATTGATCACACGCTATATTGTAACAATTAAAGCACAAAATGAAATACAATATAAAATTAACTGATAATTTTACTTCTGCCAGAATAATTATCGTTATTAATTTATTTGCAATTTTGCTTTGTTTGCCGACCCAGTTACCAGTACAAATTAATTTTAAAGAAATTTGCCTTTATTTTATAATCCTGTTTATATGACTTTATTATATTTCTAAATCTATCCTCACCACCACTACCACACCAACAGCCTGTAATAGTACACTGCTGGACATAGGCCTCTCCTTAGAAAGGAGCCTCTCCTTAGGAGACATAAATTTATTATTAGACATTTAGGATCCTTAAACCTGTAGTCATGAATGTCATGACTCACGTCTTTGTTTGTCTATTCCGTGTCCAGGTCTGACAAGGTTTAGAACATGTACGTTCGGTCCTACATAAAATATCTTTGAAAGTTCTTCTTACACACCTTTAGTCTCCAAGTTTACGACACGGAAGGTTGACAATAAAAAAAATTACCTCACACACGGCCGTCTGATTCGAAACTATGCAAAGCCTGTACTATGGTAACCAGGCTGCTGATAAACATCCAATGTCTTTCGAAATATATACATAGTAGTGGTAAATTACACCCAGACACAGAATAACTGATTACGCTCATCACATAATTGTTTGTCCTGGGTGGAAATCGATACCAACAGGATCGTCAACAACAACAACAATATAACTCAGAAGCTCCGTTTTAGGTGACGATCCCTTTTTTCGAGAGATAAAAAAAATTATGCGGATTTGATTATTCAAAGAATTGCGACTTAGACATTATCTACCGAAGTATCGTGAAGATAATAATATTTGCTCACTTGAGATCAGAATGATATTGTACGCTATTAGTATATATGTAAAATTTATACAAATGAAGTGGAAAATAAATTACCTTTACCTGAGTAGACATAGGTACCATTTAAAATCTGATTGGTTTGATTGAATATCTAGTTTGTAAGATGTTACTGTCTTAATACAACTCGACTAAAATATTTGTCAAACACAGGAAGCAGTATGGATGGTTTACGCCTGCATTGGAGTTTTTGATGCCAGATTAGATTATTTGCAAAATATCCAGCGATTAGAAAAAAAAAACATTTATGATGCCTATTCTTCTTCAGGCTTCCGTTTACGGTGTTATAAAACGACAGTGGTATCTTTCGGTTGTCACTAAACCTATTTATGATTTATTTTTGGACACTTTGATCTATTAGAAATTACCAATTGCCCAAAGTCTCATAGGACACATAACATAACCATATACCAATTGAAACAGAAATGTTCAAACGGGAACAGAGAGTTTTAATAAACATGTCAAAATTTCTCAGACAAAAAAAAACACGTTATTTAATGATAGTGACATTTGTGATATACATACGAGTATATTATCTGTCACATTTGACATTTAATGTTTCATACAGTAGCGTAATACAATAATGTAAATATGTGTTTTTTACTTACTTTGTTACTTTAAAAGTATCAAACATATAGGAAGTAAATACCTCTGTAATTTCCTACATATTTTAGTATTTTATTTCAATTATTACTGTATATTATTCACGTTTACTGTATTTTATGAAATAGTATACAGTTATACTAGTAAGATGTGGTTAGCAACATTACCCGATAAAATTGTTATAAAAACTATTAAAGTTAAAAATGAATATACAGTGTCATTTTGTCCGAGATTATGTGTGATAATTTTTAACCGTATACTTATAAATCTGTTCGTGAAAACTGGAAAATAAAATCCTATATGTCCGATTGTTTTTATATAAAATTACCTTATTTACCATTTTATACATCTACTTTAAATGTACTTTTATAATCATTAATAGTAAGTTCCGCGGCTATGGGTTTTCCAAAACGTACCTATGCGTTATGCACAAAATTCCCGTTTTTTTATCAATAAATAATACACCTACTTTCCTGTATAGCGTCCTATAAATTTATAAGTATAATGTACCTAAATGTAATGTACTACGAGTACTGTGACCTAAACACTTGGTCGGCGATGAATCATTTACGTCTCCTTCAATCATGACGCATTTGGGCTCAACAAAACACAAAAACATTAAACGTTAAGTAAAGTAAGTTTCTTAAGCTTGAATATAAGTATTAGAATATAGTTTAAAAAGTACTCGAATGACTTAAGAAGAAGCGTACGCCTCTTAGGAACGAGTTTATAAATCTAGGACTACCAATATCAGTATAACTTTATTAAAAGCACTATTAGTGGTATTTTGGTATTTTTAAATGTTCAGTTCATAGCTTCATTTCATTGTACATATGCACCTGCCATGTCCTTTACTCAACCATCTAAAGGTTGACTGGTAGATAATGCCGTGTGGCATTAAGTCCGCGTCATGCAAAATGTAATGAAGGAAGTGTAGAAATAAAAATAAATAAAAGTATTATATTAAGTTACAAAAGGGTAATTATACTTTTGCAGAATATCTCATTGAGGCGATTGATTTGCTCATTCGGTACATGCTGTTTCATTTTCAATGTTTACTTCTGCCTTCTTTTCGTTTCGTGACGATAATTTTATTATTTGTGACAAATTTGTATTAAATTTCATTTATTGACATTACTTTTTTACCCAATAATGTATAATCATTGTGATTCAAAATTTTATAACTTAATATGCATTTTTTTCCTTTATGTGTCCTTGAAGAATATTGTCTGGTCCTTAGATCCATACTGATATTATAAATGCAAAAGTATGTCTGTCTGTAACTACCTCTTCACGCTTAAACCGCTGAACCGATTTAGATGAAATTTGGTATAGAGATAGAGTCCTGATAAAGGACATAGGGTAGTTTTAATAACAGATATCACCCTTTAAGAGGGAGAAAAGGGGGGTGGAAGTTTGTATGGGGAACCAATAGCCGCTGAACCGATTTAGATGAATTTTGGTATGGAGATAGTTTGATTCTCGAGAAAGGACAGGTTACTTATGTTAGGTTACGACATACACGCGGGCGGAGCCGCGGGCAAAAGCTAGTTATTTATAAATACTTAATCTAAGGTCTGGACTTTAAAAGAATCGATAATTCCTAAGTTTGCTTCGTCCTTTCTTCTCAGGGCTAGTTCAGTTACAAAAAAACGTTTGACATGCTAAAGTATTACTGTACCCTATTTGCAGAATAATCGATTCATTTTAGTATTTGCATAAGTCCAGCAGTGGACTATTAAAGGCTGTTGATGTGATAAAATTAGTCTCTGTATTACCGCTTTATGTAAAATCAGTAGTTTTTCACAAATGTCGATTTTCATTTAGTCTACATTCCTCACGTTCGGGAAAATATTCACGAATAATAATATGACAATAACTCATATTTAAGTAAAAACCAGCAGAAGAATGGGTAAATGTTTGCTTTCCTTTTATAAACCTTTGTTTTAAAAAATCTAACAAGAATATAAATTGACAAATTATAACTGCATACGAATATACCGTCACGTAATGAATATCAAAAATCACAGTGATCGCCGGTTAGTCGTGTTTAACTTAGTTTTTTGTACTTTTAAAATTAATCTTGCCGACAATGCTTAAACCTTCGTTACATATATCAAATATTTCCTCTGTTAAATAAGTATTATTAAATTCATACACTAACATGTAAAAATTTAAAAATATTTTTACATTAAACAAAATAATTAAAGTATAAAGTTATTTGCACCTTACCCGAATATACAGTAACTAAAATTCGTAAGTTGTAAAAAATCCAGCTCATAGTACACAAAACTTTTATGACATACAACAAACAATATTCACTAATTGTCTCATACAATAACTGATTCTCACTCTTTTGTTTTAAGTTCCAGGCACTAGCGCGGGAATGTCAGTCTTTTTCGCGGCGTATTGTAACTATACGTGCACTACCGACGCACATTCCGCACGACTCCACACCAATGATTACGTTTTACGAATACAAAACAAGCTCACTTACTTCGTACGTGCGCGACGGTAATGGATAGTCGTTGAGTCACTTATGTAGTATTCAAAATGGTGTTTGTAGCCATCTTGTAACTATTGTTGGAACTTATTAGAACGTTATTAGCGATAGCTAGTGTTAATTTTTTTCAACAAATCATTTAAACCTTCTACTTGACAACAGATGTCACTAATTTTAATGTACATATTATTTTTTGTAATTAAATTAAACAAATCACCGCAATGATTAGAAATATTATAATTTTATTTTTAACTTTTAACGAAGTAAACATATTTGGTAAATAATTTGTTGCTTTGTCTTCAGTCTTCAACAGACAGTATTTTCTATAATTGAGAATATCTTCCGGTTGAGGACTAAAGATTGGCGTCGTTCGTTCAATTTCGTTCATCTATTGCTTTACTCTAAACTTCAGTCGCTTGATCAGTCTTTCTCTGTCAAAATGGCTACCCCACAAGAGGTTCGTGACGATAATCTCTCTGTAATTCCTTTATTTTATTATTCATTTGAGTGAAATAATCAAAATTGTTACTGTTTTACTTACTTCTTGATAAAATTTTCAGGCAAGGCGTGAACCCATACAGGCCGTTCAAGTCTTCGGCCGCAAGGTTAGTATTTGTTGCGTCCACGTGTTTGTGCTGATTTTCATGTAATTTTGTCGTTATAATCATTATGATTTCTGTCAAATTTAGTGTAAAGTTTATAATTTGTGTCAAAAATTGTAGTAGAACGATTATATCAATTTTGTTCACCACACTTGTGACCTTAAAACCTATCTACATACAATTTGAACCGCGGTAATTTACTACCAGTCCTTTCCTGTTCTAAATCACATCTTGTGATAGTGTTTTATTTATAGTAACCATTTCAGCACACATAAGATTTGTTAGAGGTAAATAGATAGGTAACTTGTTAACTTGTTTTGTATCCACATAACCTTAAACCTCTAATGAAAAGTTTCAAATAAATACGTATTTTGAATTCTCAGGTTGCGATTTTTTTAGTGTATTTAAGTATCCTTCTACTTTGTTTTAAAGCTTAACATTTAATCATTTTAGAAAACCGCGACAGCAGTAGCGTATTGTAAGCGTGGACATGGTGTGCTCCGTGTTAACGGTCGCCCACTTGACCTGGTGGAGCCCCGCCTTCTGCAATACAAACTTCAGGAGCCCATCCTACTGCTCGGCAAGGTTTGTATGCAGATTATTCTTCATTTCATATTGCTATGCTTCTAAATTCAAAGTCAGGCCTAGGTCTTCACTATCAGTAAGGTAATCATCATCATCATCAACAGCCTCTAGTAATCCACTGGCTGGACATAAGCCTTCCCTTAGAAAAGGGGTTTTAGCCTACCATACGGTTCTGGCCGAATATACATTGTATATACTGCTATGACTAACTTTATTATGGCATTTTATCATATGTGAACACATACATGTACTTAAACATAACCCTATTTAATGTGTTATTTGTGTTCTGTGATTGTGTGAAAGAAAGGGTTAAATATCAACCTTTTTAGGACAGAATTGCTTTTATTATATAGGCATAAAATCATTTTAATAAAATAACAGGGCTGTTTATTTGTTAGTTCAAACAATTGTTATTTTCTGGTTTACCAAATGCAGTTTGTTCAAGGGATAACTAGCTGACCTTATTGATGATTTTTATAAAAGCTACTGTAAATTGTATAATATACTATGAAAATAAATATTTTAAGTTTCCTAATTTTATGTTAGTGCTATATAAATTTTACATAGTAATTCATGTTTTGCTATTTCAGCCTTAAAATCGAAATAGCCATAAAGGCAAAATATTTAGTTATGATGGCTGTAAACATTGAGTTAACAATAATTGTACTATCACTGTTAAATTAATATAACACTAACATGACATATAAATTAAACTTAGTATATCTTTTCACAGTATATTACATTACACAGCAGCTTTTAAGAATCATAGAAGGTGTTTTGCATCAGGTGTATATGTGTATTTGTATAACTCAAGGATTCCGTATTCAAGTACTGTACCGAATACCTCTATCATCTAGATAATGTATGACAAGTGTTATGAAAAATGTTTATTACATACTTACCTAGCTAAATCATACAATTCGTATTTTATACAAACCCCCGGAAGGCCAAAACCTAAGTAGAGGCCCATTTCCAGCAGCGGACTGGTAAAGGCTGATGATGATGATGTATAGAATACCCATTGATATATGACTAAAATGAAAAGTAACTCCTTTATAATACATATTTATCCTAGCCTATATATTTGTAATGAAATGCAAACAAGTTGTAGTGCATTAAAGCCCTGCCTGTCTGCTGTCTTCCATTTCCTAATTCACATTTTCACACAGATTATGGGCTGTCCATCCAGTGTTGTATAGAATATCTAGGCAAAGTAATAAAATTTATTATTAATTTTAAAATGGTGATTTCCATACTACTACTATACTAGTAATTTCCATACAACAAATAAATATAATAAAGTGAGACAGACACTTTTTTATGTTACCAGCAATAAGTGTATCCATTTCTATACAGTTATGCAGATTGCCTTAACAATAATGAAGTTTAAAAGTGAACTTGCTAGTTTTAATGATGATTACCACTTATTCCGAACCTGAGCATCTTTGGATGTGAAGTGAAAGATCCATCTGAAAGCACTGCTGCAACTGCAAAGTTGAGTTAAATTTATGTGAAAATATATTAACCTTTCGTGTAATGACTTTTTCAGGAGAAATTCTCCGGAGTTGACATCAGAGTGACCGTGAAGGGTGGTGGTCATGTAGCACAGGTTTATGCCATCAGGCAAGCCATCTCCAAGGCACTCATAGCCTTCTACCAGAAATGTAAGTGTATTTCAGTTTTTTTTGCCAGATATTTACACAACTATCTCTCTGACTTTGCATGAAATTTAAAGGCGCTGCTTTTGTGGATTCGATTTCTGGACTGGTCAAAATTTTATAGGGGTTTTCCAAGAGGTAAAATAGCCCAAGTTACTACTTATATAGACAGCTAGCTGTAAGTAAAATATTATCTAAGTCAGTCCAACCGTTCAGAAGATTACCCGCAATAAACAGACATAGAAATCTTACAAATAACCATGTGAGAATGAAAAAAACCTATTATTTAAACATTACAAACAGACACTCCAATTTTATTTATTTGTATAGATATACTCCTGCTTTACATGTTGGCTAAGTTGTTATACCCTTCTTCCAAAGCTGCGTTGCTAACTTGCTACGCAGTCATTTCACGGAGGGTAGAGAAAAAGTGTCATATTACCAAACAGCAATGAATCTTAATGCATTGCTAGTTTGAAGTGTACACAACAAATTTTTTATTTAGCTGTACTTATTGTAATCACATCATCAACAGCCTATACTAGTCCACTGCTGGACATAGGCCTTAGAAAGGAGGTTTTGGCCTACTATACCACGCTGGCCAGACGGGTTGGTATAGGGTTTGTTTCAAGTTTTCCTTCTCTTAATTACTTACTACTCTTACTTCTCGTACTTATTGTATGTGCTACTAATGTTTAATATTATATTTATTGACAACATTAAAGTGTCAGACTAGGGAAGCTGCACTGGATTTTAAATGCAATTATCATCACTTAGCCATTGTTTTGTGTGATGAAGTAAGTTCAAGTATTAAATATCTACAGAACATATTATAGAACAGGGTCTGTTGATAAGAGCGGAGCCTTGTATGGTCAATATCAAGTCCAAATGGAGTACTTTAATACTTCTGATGTAGCTTTTGTTATCCTGTTCACTCAAAAAGTGTCATTAGCTCTATTAGAAACTTCCAAGTTTTATTACAGGAACTAAACAGGCTTTAGCCAGTAGCCAGCCCACAGTACTGGCAAATTGCAGTGACTGACAATATTTGGTTTGTTATTATTTTAATGTATTGTCAAATTTATTACAGATGTAGACGAAGCTTCAAAGAAGGAAATCAAAGATATCCTTGTCCAATACGATAGGAGTTTGTTGGTAGCTGACCCTCGGCGCTGCGAGCCCAAGAAGTTTGGCGGTCCAGGTGCCCGCGCTCGCTACCAGAAGTCATACCGTTAATATCTGTGTCGGTGCCACGGGGTGGTATCGAATTGTTTTTGGTATTACAGTGCGATATCATTGCGTGTCAGTCAAATAAAAAAAAATAAAAAACTTTAAAGTGTTTTATTTAATTATAGAGTACTATCAGCCTGCTCGGTTTCAATGCAATGTGGATACTAATATAATAATTCTACACACGTCTTCCACTAGCTATCTGATCTCAAACTAGGTAGGTACTACTAAACAGAGCCACGGTAACCAGACCACTGATAAACATATCTATATCTTTCTAAAAACATGCATATTATTAAATTCACCCCTCTGAGAGTCAGGGTTACTACTAGTTAGTTATTGAATTCTGTGTCCATGAATAATTCGTTGCTAACGAGAGGCCCGTGTCCAGCAGTGGACTAGTAAAGGCTATTGATAATGATAATGAATAGTATATGTAAAAGGTATTTTTTCGTTCCGTTTCGTAAAAACACAACACAAATATTTTTGGAGTGGAACATAAATTTCGACCTATTAATTTCATGGCAATTCACGCTCTTACATATAAATTAAGGAGCCACATTAAAAGTATTGAATATTCTTGAATTTCAACAGTACTGGATTTAGGTTTTTAGTAGACACTAAACACAATTATTACTAAATGATACAAGATTTAAAAAATATTCATTAAATTCTTTCACTGTGCCGGTGGCTCTTCAATTCAAATGATTAGATTGATGAGCCACTGTTTCATTGATATCACTGCATACATCTTACTTTTTAGATTGTCCTACAAAATGAGTTGCTCACCTACTAAATAAGGGGGTTTTCGTTTAAAATCTGAAATGGCTCTTCAATCTATACAGACAATTTGTCGACGAATATCAGAATTTGTCGGTCACTTTCAAAAGTTATGAGTTTATAGGAGGCTCCCCACCAGGGCCACGCTTGTATGTCAAAAACTAGGGCACCTAGCCAAGATTTGTTTTCTTCCAAATATAGTAGCTAATTTGTCGAAATAAGTCGCGAAATATGAGAATTTGTCGGGTCTTAGTTTAGGATATAAAATGAGCTCAATTATTAAAGTAAGTATAGTCTTAGAGCTAGATCGCAGAGTTTACGAAAAATTATATTATTATGTATGTGTACCCTACCTACTTGTAGTTTTAAATCCTTGGAAATGTCAGAAAGAGATAAATTCTTAATTAAATACATATATTTATGTTTTACGTTACTTACTGCTTACTTAATTACTACGTGGACTACTACTAGTCACGGACGCATCGAGTTAAACAACTAGAAAAGCAAACCTCCAATGAAACCATTAGACATTTGAAATCTTACCCATAATAATATATCGTGTACCGATTTTTATAATTAATTTTCATGTTTATAACCGAACAAATTTTGTAATTAAATAAATTAATTAAATAATTTAAAAAAAAATTATTGAATGGAATAGGCATGACTAATAAATTAATTAAACAGGTTTTCTTAGAATAATTACACTAGTTTACACGTTTTTTTTACCCCAGCTGAAAGTTGTTACTTTATTGTTCTTTTAAGTAGAATTATAGAGAAAAAATAATAAAAAAATCTGTCACATCTGGTTAAAGAAATATTTATTTACCTAACTGGAATACATAATTTTGGTATTAATACTAAAGAAAAGACTAGTTTTTGCCTTCTTTTTATAGTTTTTCAAAATATCAGTTTTTCTTATAATGGACCAACATTAATCCCTAACAGGTTTTCACCCCAAATCCTTGATGTCGTTCTTCAAAAACCTTTAAATCTTGGTGTAAACGTTCCCCCTGTTCGTCACTCATACTTCTTAAGTTTTCAGAGAGAAACTACAAAAAATGAATCTTTAATGACATTTTACTCTCGTCTGTTCAATTTTTTTAAATAAATCGGTAACAATTTCTTTGTAATTTTTTCCTTTTTTATTTTCCAAAAAATCTGCCACAACCATTTTGAATGACTTCCAAGCAGATTTTTCATTACCAGAAGTTGACCTGCGCAGAAGTTTCATAATTTGTGGGCCAACAAATATACCTATGTAATCTATGGAAAAAAATATGTAAATACCGGAAAGCATCACTGTTTTTCTCAAGCGCCTTCACAAAACTTTTCGTGAGTACCCATTTTAATGTGTAAAAGGTGTACAGTAGGGTGTCCCGAATTTTTTTTATTCTTATTTTAGCTACTTAAGACCTCTCAAAAGTTGCGCTGTTAGACGTAGATTAGCGTAAAAATAATTCAAAAAATATTTAAAAATATCCTTAGGGCTCTACCAGCATTTTTATTTACTGAAAATTCGCAAAAACAACCTTGTAGTCAATTTCGTATATTCTATGTTTTATGAATCAATCCTGTTTTGTCTTGTAATTTTATCAATAAGAAAAGCCTCGGCTATGATTTGCAAGTATCGACAGGTTGTTTTAGCGATCAATCGGTTTGGATCGGACTTGTAAAATTCCTACAAAATTCATGTTTTGACTTGATTTTCGTACGTGCGCTACTTCTACAACAAGACAGTTCGTCTCATTTCTATTTCGATTTTACTCTTGTAAGGAGTTGTTCTATTCTTCTTTGAAAGAAAACCTAATTTGCGTTACTTAATCATAAAAATGTGTTCAAGGCGAAGTGAGACTACTTGTACTATATTGGGACCTTATAAAGAACTTGACGATCGCCAATTACCTGTTATAAAAGACGTTATTAAGTGCATTTTATTTACTAAAAGTGAATTAAAACTACAGAAAAACGGAAAAGATCCATCGAACACAGAAGTCTTTTCAATAGTTTCTAGAAAACTTAACACAATTTGGACCAAAGCTTCAATTCCCATCGTTTCTAACGTACGGGTTACTCAACTGCTAACCGCATATTTTAACAAATATTTATCACTAATAAGATATCCTAAAAGTAAAAGAAACGATAGCTATGACAACAAAGTTAAGTGCTTTTTGGAATCGTCAAATAAGCTTTTTGACATCGCTGCTTGTAAGTGCACTTCGTTTGAAAATTGTTCCTGCACTAAACCCAAGAAAGTTCCCATTTCTGAAAGAGATTTTTTACTGGACCAAAGAAATGATAGGAAAATGGCAATAAGCGGCGTAGACGCAAAAGAAACTGCAAGGCTTTTAAAGAAACATCAAAGACAAGAAAATTTGAAGCGGACAGAGCAAGCTTGTTTTCCGAGTACTTCACAAACCGATACTGTACCGGTACGCGTGTTGCCGCATCGTTCACAGTCGCTTTCAATAGAACCTTCTACTAAAAGTGACTTAAAGGAGTCTCCATCTAATTCATTTAGTCGGAACACTCTGACGCTGCCAACAGTAGCTAAGGTATGTGATCGATACGGACTATCAACGCGTTCGGCAGCTGCAGTCGCTTCAGCAGTCTTAGTTGACGTAGGAATGGTATCTTCCGAAGATCTAAACCTTGTGATTGATAAAAATAAGATTCACAGAGCTTTTTCAAAGTCACGTACCCAAGCCAGCAAAGACATCGATAAAATTATTATAAAGAGTATCTACTTCGATGGGCGAAAAGATAAAACTCTCAAGCTCAATAAAATAGACAGCCGGTACCACCGAAAAGAAGTCTTAGAAGAACACATTTCAGTTCTTACAGAGCCGGGATCTATTTACTTGGGACATACGACGCCGAGTCGAGGTACTGCGAAAGGGATTGTCACTTCTATTATAGAATTGTTAGAAAATCAAGGATGGAACTTAGAAGAAGTAAGTTGTGTGGGTTGTGATGGCACTCCTACAAATACAGGTTGGAAAGGAGGTGTCATTAAATACCTGGAAGACTATTTGAAGAGACCGTTACAATGGTGTGTTTGTATGCTTCACACTAATGAATTACCGCTTCGCCATTTGTTTATGTCTCTAGATGGTAGCACATCTGGGCCGAAAGAATACTCAGGACCTATTGGAAAACAGCTAAATGTTTGTGAAAGTAAACCACTAGTGTCTTTTTGTGCAGTGGCTGGCAATTTGCTCGAATTACCTGATGACATTGTGAAGGAACTAAGTACGGATCAAAAGTATCTGTATGAAATGTGTCATGCTGTGACGACTGGTTCTTGTTCCCCTGAGTTAGCGAGCCGCCAACCTGAAAAAATGGCGCATTCAAGATGGCTAACTACTGCCAATCGCATACTCAGACTTTATGTAAGTACTGTTTCGCCATCAAATATTTTAAAGCTGCTTGTCAATTATGTGGTCAAAGTTTATGCTCCAGTTTGGTTCCTCATTAAGAAAAACTCATCATTCAAAGATGGAGCCAATCATATTTTTCAAATGGTTACATACCTACTCCCGATTTTTGCCTTATAAGCAAAGATCTATTGTGAATTCAGTGATCGAGAGAAACGCTTTTTTTGCTCACCCTGAAAACTTACTTGTTACCATGCTATTCGACGACAGAGAGCATATTCGAGAGCTTGCAGCTCGCAAAATATTAAAGGCAAGAGAAGCAGAAATAAGCAATACTCGCAGGGTATTTAAAGTACCAAAACTTAACTTCGATGCGCGATATTACATCGATTTGATATTTTGGCAAGAGTGTGAGATATCCGCTCCACCGATTTTGCGACAGATGTCCGACGACGAACTGAGAATTAAGGCTAAAGAACAAAGCTTCGATGTTATTGATTTCCCCTGTCATACACAATCAGTGGAAAGATGTGTAAAGCTAGTGACGGAGGCTTCTCTAAGTGTCACGGACGCTACAGCTCGGGATGGTTTAATCAGAAACAGATTAAAATCTCGCGCGGAAATGCCTAATTTTGGCCACAAGAACCAATTTCGTATTTGAAATAAGCACTAATTATAAGTATTTAAACTTTACTGAACATTACCTTGTGTCTTTGTAGTACCTATAAATTTGATTGAAACTTTTAAAACATTATTTTTGTATCATTTATAGTTTATGTTCGAAACCTCTAAAAATGGCAAATTTGAAAAACTTCTAGGATCGGTAGAGGCCTAAAGATGACAAATATTTAATTAAATTTTGTTATATTTGTAATCTATTCACAAAAACGCAACTTTTGATACCGTATAGCCGTCGCTTTAAAAAAAAAAACCCATACATTGACGGGACACCCTAGTGTACAGTGATGTTAAACATAATAAAAACGATCAGAATTTGGTTTACACTTTCTACCCGACATTTTGAATCAATCTGAGACAAGATAATTGTCGTTTGAAGCGAACGAATGAACACTAAACTGTTGTTACCACGTTAGGTTGTTAAAAAAAAACATTTGACTGCAGGAATAAATGGTCACGTGATAAAATATTTGGGCTAACACTTTTAGGATTAAGGAAGGTAGATTAACATATTTATATAGGTACATTTATTTAAGTTAAATTTTGTAAACTAGTGTTATTATTGTATATTCTATGAAGTATCAGTTATGTAAACAAATTGTCTTTTAGACTCTTTTTTGTAAGCTTAAGTGAATAATTTACTTTCATGATACAATCTCATTTCTCTCAATAAATAATGCCAGTACTTAATAAAAGGGAGTGATCAACTTGTATTGATGATAAAATAATCCTCAGGGTGTATTATTTTCAATATTATTTGCCCATTTCTTAAACACGGCGTGCTGCTAGCTAGTATACTGTAAAACTATTATTAGACAAATAAATAAGAAAATACAATAAATTGATTCTTTTGTATGAAAGTTTCTAGCGCTGCGAGCTAGGATGGAGGTGAACGCTGGTCCCAAAAGAAGGAGATCGGCCCAATCTTATCAGCTACCAGTCCTACTGTAATTTATTATTATTGCCAAAATATTTAAAAACATTTTTTTTTCCGAATAAACAGCTTTTTTTTTTCCAAAAATTACATATTCTCCCACTGATGAGGGATAACCAAAACGATTTTTAATGGTAACACTATATAAATTATAATGATCAATTTTTAATTTCGATTATTATAGCGTTATTTACGTCAATATCAATACAAAAACAATATATTTCCTTGATTTATTATAGTTTTGTGACCTTGAATCGCATTCTATCAATACGCATATACCCTTTTTGGAGATTGATATTATCACGTGCCGCTATGTTCAACTTGATCGGCGCCACATTGAACACTAAACTGATGTTTGCTGCGCATATGGGTGTGGACAGATGTGCAGTGGCAACGCTCTTGGGCTGCAATTACTAATCTAGTGCAATATAATAGATCAATGCATAGACATATAAAAAAAGTCGGACATAGTCTCGATAACATAAAACGGTACACTTATAGGTACAGGCACCAATCTTGAGCGCTGACCTTCACCTGCGCAGAAGTCGATTTTTGGTGGTATGAAGTTTGGGGGCAATTTTTTTATTTCTTTATTTAAATCATTACGTCGCCCAGTGATTGGTTCACTGATATTGTCGCTGCTTCTAATTCGTTTTCTCGTACTAAACTACTACGAGAACACTTTTGAGCAAATTAATAGGGTCTTTCTTTTTTTGTTTGGAAGGCAATCGCATACCAATTTTAGATGTTTATGAAATTCAAAATGGATAGTCCTTAAAATGGATTAGCACAAGGAAACTCTTCTTTGGCTATGAAACGGCTAAAAAACTTAAACTGTTGTCTTCACCTGAACTGACTAGCAAAATATATGCATTTTTTTATTATTTATTGACAAAGCCTTAGAATATCTAAATAAATGGTTTGATTTTAATGACACAAACCGGTTATTTACACTTAGTAATATAAATTTAAACACCAATGTCGAATTTGATAATTTTGTTTACTTAGTCGAAAATTTAAATCTGCAAAAACTTAATATAAATATGGATGATCGTTACAGATAAATTTCTTTATTAAACAAATTATATAATTACATATATATAGTTCTATAGGTTTTGCGGCATTGTCTACTGCACAAAAATGGCAGCAAGTATTTAATAAGACTGATGATAGTTTTTCAAATTTGTATAAAGTAATTTCATTTTTAATGTCGATGCCTTTTCTTTCTTTTCTTTCTTCTCATTCTTAGAAAGAGTTTTTTCTGTGATTAATAGCAAATGGCGAGACGAAAGAAACAAAACGTCTCTGAATCTGATAAAAAATTAATAAATTATTTATTTTAACTTAGGCCCGGATTTCTCTGATCGTCGGTTGCGTGCGACCGACGACTGACGAGTGTCCGCCGCCGTCGGCCGCGTTCGAGTGGGTTCTCTGGACGCGGGCACTTAGTGTCTGGTACTCATGATTGTGAATGGCGCTGCTTGAACAATCGTGTTCGTAATCAGAGTAAAATGAACTAAAATATTAACTTAAAATTGTTAAGAGAAGAAGTAGAAGATGAATTTCTAATATTATCAAAGAAAAGTAAACAATCATGCATTCCTAAGCAGACCTTGGCATGTCTGAGAACTCGGTATTTCTAAGCACACCTCTTTATTCCCAAACATATTACAAAACATCGTGTAAATAAATAAAAAAACTTTAGATGAATCAAAATTTATTAATCACTATAAAAATTTCGTTCACAATCCTAATGTCTTTATTAATTTAAGTGAGAAATTAAATGCAATTCACGACTTATTATAACACACAATTTAGATGGTTACCACAAAATTAAAATAAGATCGTTGGTGATAAGAATATTTAAAAATATCTAATTACAAATATTTCGTAAGATATGTCCTCACCGTAATGAATCCATCAGAAACTTGTCTCTGTTAAATTGGCAGTACTTAAGGTCCTTAATAGTCAAAATTGAGAATTTCATGCCAAATCTGAAGTTAGTTTGTTACACTTTATAACAAAAACATTGTCAGGACATATTTAACATATAATTTTTTTTTGTATGAAAAAGAGATTTTGATTTAGTAATATTTTAAAACATTTGAGGACTAGGCAATGTCGGTCTCTTAATATTAGCATTCCATTTCATTGGCTTTATTTACCCCGAGTAGGAAAGGGTGTCAGTACAACTGAATTTAAGAGAAATCCATGAGCGTATGAAAATATGCGTTAAAAGCAATTTCTTTACTGCTATGGCAGTTTCAAAAATGAAGAATAATAAGGCCTTTTTATACTGTGCCACTTTTTGAAACAATGCAGTTTGGCCTACTTGATCGGTTTATCCAAATATAAAGAATAGATAGACAGAGAGAGAGAGAGAGAAGATTTCTTAGGCAGAATTATTTATTGTGATTGAGTGTTTTTTGAACAATATTTAGATTACAATAGGACAACTATCATAACCAACTAAACAATTTTTCTGCCGCTTGTCGCGGTTTTTAAGATAAAGAAGAATAAAAGTATATAAAAGGAAGGTTAACATTTTTAGTCTTGTATAGATGAATTTTAGCCAATAGTTCACGTGGAAGCCATTGCAATAATCCCGTAAGTAAAAATGTAAAACTTGCTGTTAAGATACCATACTGTGCGGTGTCCCCTATATTAGCACAAAACTTATATTAATGTTAGAAGTTAATGTCTTTCATTATTTACTTATAAAATAGTCGATGATAATATCCTCATATACAGATCTCAACAAGATTTATTAGTAATTATAATCTATTTATAAATTTAATTATAGGCACTGCTTTTCTTACGTTTTACTGTGTTAGTATCATTTTGGCACCATTTTAGTTAAAGTAAAACCAAAAATAGGTTTTATGGCCTCTGATTGCTTCGAAAGAAATTGTGAAGGAGTTTTTTTTTCTACAAACAAAATTTAGATCATTTGAGGCAGGTACAATATTGTTTTAGTAGTGAGATTTATGAAGACAGCTGCTTATTCAGCTAGTAAAGAAAAAGAATGGTGCAGTAATACTGTTATACGACAAAATTTGGTTTTTAGTGTCTATTCAGTCCAAAAGTCTTTGATTTACCTACATGTTACGTTTTACCTAAAGTAGCGGCTACAAAGATATGTGACCATTTAAAAAATCGGTAGGTGGTAAATATGGCTAATTATTATTTGCAACAAAGCAACTCTTAAGATAACATAGAACACTAGCGTCAAATAATTACTTAAAGTTAACAAATAATACAGTAAAAGTAAAAGAATACTATTAAATTTCTAAAGAGTAAATTTTAATGTTATTTATGTCTCTGTAATTTTACGGCAAGTATACTTAATAATTATAATGTTACATGTGTCATATATGTATTTATTATATTTTATACTGTAATAAGCAGGCATTTATGAGACGGGCCATTTAATTTAAAAATACTTTTTGTAAAAAAATAAAAGCCAATGTACCTAAATTGGTACCATAAGCTGTAGGAAAACTATTTAAAAACAAAAAAATGACAGTTGTCAGTTGTCGCCATTTTTATTTTCTTCTTTACCGTGACAATCTTCAAATTTGGCGCCCATCCGCTTCAAGGCTATGACGGCAGATACGGCTTTAGCCCAGCGTTTCTTGATCACATAACGCTTTAGCTTCGACTTAGTAACGCGAAGTTCTGTGCATAAGGCTGACTGAATCAGCCAGGGATGCGTGAGGGTTGACGATGCTGACAGACGATCACTGTAAAATAACACGATTATAGATAATTTAAGGTTAGGGTATTTTACTAAGAAGGTAAGTAGTATGAGTAAGCTGTATTCATTTAAATTAGTCGAGTCACCATTGTGTCAATGCTCAAAACCTAACTCTCACTATGAACAGTCTGCTCATCATATCCTCTGGGAATGTAGTCTCAAATCTTTATTTGCCAACCAAGTGTACATCAATGATCTTATAATAATGTAGTAGTCCCAGCTTAGAAGCCTTTTCCAGGCATTGCAAAAATTTGAGAGAGAACGCAGAAGAATAAATTGTTACACAAGTACAAGCATTTTTTGAACAATACAAATTAAGTGACTCAATAGTACAGTATAACAATCGAACAAAGCATGCAAAAATACGAAGGCACCCGACATTCTACATCACTAATACATATACACATTTTCCTACTGTCCCTAGCATTTCCGTGCATCACGACCGATTTTTCTTTTTATGATTTGTACTTAGGTATATGCTTTCTGTTTTCCGTGTAATAAGAAATGTAATTTGTTAAGTGTTTTTTTCCGCAATGTATTCTTTAACAGAATAGTAACATTTTGTAATTAAGAATGCTTTTAGTTTTTTAATGAATAGTGTAGTCTTCGTTTCATTTTTTATGTGGATAGGTAATTTGTTGTATATTTTTACAGCCATGTAGTAAGGGCTCTGGTTTAGCATTTTAATTCTTGATGGTGGTAGGTATAGTCTGTCTCTGTGGCGTGTGTTTAAATTGTGATTGTCTTTTACTCTTGCGAAGTGACTCATGTTCTTGGATACAAATATGCAGATGTCAAATATGTATAATGATGGTAGTGTGAGGATGTTATATTTAATGAAGAAGGGCCTACAACTATCACGATTTCCAATTTGTCCGATAATTCTAATACATTTCTTTTGTAATATAAATAAATCCTGAAAGTGTACACTGTTTCCCCACAACATAATGCCGTATCGTAACCAGGAGTATGCGTATGCGTAGTATGCTGACAGTGCGGTTTTTTCGTTTGTACTGCATTTAAGTTGGAATAGAGCATATGTAAATCGAGACAGTTTATTTTTTGTATGTTCGATGTGTGCTTTCCAGTTGATGTGTGTGTCTATAGTTATACCAAGTAATTTGAATGTATCTACAGTTTCTAGTTGTGTGCCATTGTATGTTGTGTCGATGTTTACGGGGGTGTTTCTGTATGTTCTAAATTAGATAGTTGTCTTTGGTATAATGAACGTAATATAATGCTTAATAGCTTGCAGGTGACATCTGGGGCGGTATACTATGTGGGTCTTGTGTCAACTAGGGCGAATTTCCGTGCGTTTAGGCGATTCTGCCATACATATTTTAGAAATCAAATATAGCTCACTTAGGGCCCATAATATTTTGTGGCCATGGTGCTTCCCTGTTTAAAAGGGTGTATGCCTATTTTACTTCATTTTGCTAAGGAGGGAAGTGGATTTACTGTATTTCCAACTCCTCCAAGTTACTTCTGATTAATTTCGGCTTCCAAGACAGTTGGTGTTACAGTGGTGGGCGTGTGGGAGGGATTAGTCCCATTTTAAAGAAAAAAAAATAGGTAATATATCTTGCCACTATTCAAGTAGTAGGTACTATTACTTTATTTAAAGGTGACTTTTCTCTGCGCTAGCACTAAGGCAAAAACGGTCATTTTAGCTAGTTTCACTATTCAGTTGAACAAGACGTAGATAAATACGCTGGGGTTTATCAGTTTCTTTTTTTTTTAACAGTACCTATGCATTTCAAAAGAGAAGATAATTTCGCGCCAACTTCAGCTGTTAAGACTTGTCAAATCGGTCAGCACAAAAAATACAAAAAGGTCAGCATAAAACAAAAAAAAAAAAAAATTAGACATCATTTACACTTCCATACTATAATATATAAATTACACGATTTATTAAGATACATATTTATTTAAATGTGAGAAATCTAAGACTACCTAAGTAAAATCCTCCGCCGTTTCCGAAGCAATGCGCCGATTTGACAGTTTCTTAATTGAAACGCATAATATGTACTCGGTAAGTACTCTTGCACTAAGCTAATTGCAATATTGACGTATTGTAAAACAATAGTACTTAGAGCCTGACTATAAAATCTGTCGCTCTTCTGTTTAATTGCAAAATTAGTGTTATTAATATACAAAAATAAAGTAAAAATAAAACAACTTTTCAATAAAGCCTTATATTTTAACAACGTATCATAATAACAAATAAATTACATTTAAGCTATAGATAAGTACAGATAAGGAACAATCATAATTTACGTTTAAAACCTTAATTCATCAAAACATGTCTTATTTACAAAAAAAGTAATAAAAAATACATTACTTGCTGCTTTCTATGGGCTGATATAATTCGTTCTCAGTCTTAAATCCAAAACGATTAAAAATGTTGAAGACTAGATTTTTTAAATTGTCATTTTGTCTGCCTGTTTTGTGCCTCACACATACAAACAAATAATAAAATGCCAAGATTCCAGTAAAATAGAGATAAGGTATAAAAATAAGCATTAACACCTCATTCACACCAGTTTCTGTTCTAAGTGCTCATATTAAAAGTTAGGATTTGCTTAACGTTGAAGATATTCTCTTTTTGCCTACGAGTTTTCCATGACTTTATCAAAGGTTTGTGAGGTTTACCAATACGCACTGTGCCAGTGTTGTCGGACAAGACTTAAATTTTTCTTATATTAGGAAGACGAATACCTCCCTGTATTTATCTTCCTGATACTAATTGTCATACTGTGAGGGTAGTTTCATAGTTTGCTAAATTATGTGAGATTATTAAAAAAACATAGTCATAGTTTCCATTTTAAATACCATAGAGTATAAGTTTTGTAAGTCTAAGAATAAGTCTAGTTTGAGAAACAGTGGGTTGTATGGACCTCGATTTCTATAATTCTATTTCAGTGGAACCTTTGCTTGTCTAAATTAGAGTTTAAATTATATCAATATAGCTCAGTCAGGTTTCCTTAAAATGTCAGACACAAAGAGTATATACTATGTACGAGTGCTCGTACGTAGTATTAAACTTTTACTGAGATAATAAATCTTGCACCTACGTTTTAGAAACGGAAATTGACAGAATCTGTTATTATGCTTACACAATGCTTTTAGAAATGGTCTTAATAATAATGAGATATTAAAATGTAATTGAATGTTACAAAGTTTCTGAAGAATAATTTTGTGCGTCACTGGTGTTAAGTCGCTCACCACAAAGTCACTGTGTAAGCATAGTAGCACACACAAGCTTAGATTACACTAACGCATAGAGTTACTTTACTGCTTAGAGCTGAGCTGTTTCATGCTTGAAAGAGATAGCACTATAATGCTGTCTTTTGTGTATGTGCATGTATTTCCAAGCTTATTTTTATAAATAAATAATAAAGCATGGTGAACTAATAAATATGAAGGAAATGTCCTTTTAAGTCTTTTCTAATGTAAAGTGTCATTAGACTAATTATAGACGTGTTTCTTTTAACACGTCTTTTTGCAAAATGTTTGACTATTAAATTTTATTGCATATATTTGAAAATGAAATTTTTTAAATTCTTGAATCATTCCTCCAAGGGATACAGTATCGCATAAGTTGGCATGCGGCTATTTGTAAGTAAATAGTGTGTGTTTAGTGTGTTCTAGTGATGTGCCAAGATACGAGTATCTGTATTCGCGTATATCGCAAGGAGAATCAAGATCTGATGTTTGTTAAATTTTGGTGGATCTTGAACGGATATTTCACATTATTTTATTACGCTTATGAAATTCTAGATTTATTTTGCTAACATTTAATGGTTAAATATCTTATATTAAAGTAAGGAACTAAAGATCACTATTTGACTCTTTTCATAACGAAATATCTTTTCTCTTAATCGCTGTTCGTAACGCAAATCTTTGTGATATAAGTTTTAAAATAATTATTAAAAAAAACACGCGCTGTGCAATTTGAAGCATATCATGTTTTGTAATTCTCAACATAGGCTATTGTTTTAATGTCCCTCGTATTGGCATTCACTGAGAAAAAATTGATATCCATACCTGTATATACCATAATTATACACTAATAATCTGTGTTCGTTTCCGTATCCGCGGAAATTCATTTTTACAAATCGGCACATCACGAATTGCTCTCTTAACGTCTGCCATGTGAACGTGCTCTTAATATTTTTTCTGTATTTTAAAGTAACTTTAATTCTACAGGATCTATTATTTAAGAAATGCAAATTCCAAACAAAGCACTACTTTGCCAACTTATGTGTTTAATGTCTACCAAAAGTATCATGTGGTCGTGCATATGCGCTAGGCTTTACTTTAGAACATTATAATCTCATACCATTACTTTGGTAACACAGTGTCATGGCACTTAAGTCCTTGTATTATGACTCAAGTCACTTAGATACGTTCGTAGTCACTTTTTTTCTTTGGGTCTTCTCTTCTGACGTCTGCCTCTGGAAGAAAGCGTGGAGACTTGACATAGAACTCTGACCTAACTGATTCGACGGAGACCATTCTAAAGATATCGATTGATGTCTTCCACCATTAGAAGTACCCCCTGCCGATCTTTCTGCTTCAACTTCCTCTGTTTCCCCCCATTTTTCTAACAAATGGAGCAGGAGATCCTTGGTTCTATGAGCGTTGTTTTCATCTCCCCTTCTGTAAGGCATTTGTCTTCCATTTTCTGAACCGCTGACAAGTTTATTGATCTTCTCCCGTCGTTTGTCGAATTCTTGGAAGAAAGTGTTTCGAACTTCGACGGGTTGATCTGGAACATCTCGACTCATGGCGGTCACTCTTTTAGACCTGCTGCTACTAGCAGTTTTTACCCATGGCATTTTGCTTGTCATTGGTGTCTCCGGTTCTCTTTCTGTTAGGAAAGTCGAAGTTATTTTGTTCGTTGATTTGGAAGTAAAGAGCCTTCTCTCTTTTTTAGTAGTATCTCCATTACTAACTGCCGTCATTGTTACTTTCGATTCTTTCCTGAAACCATTCGGTAGTTTCTCTTCTGTAAACGATTTAGTTTCCGTGACGTTTTTATCTAGTTCCTTAGCACTGTTATTATTAGCGAGATCAGTGTTCATTGTTGAGAGCATATAAAGGTGATCGGACAGCTTCTTTATTTCTTCAGCTAAATTTTTCCTAACAAGCACATCTTGTCTTTTGTGTAAGAAACAAGAGCTATCAGATGCTCTTCTTTCTACTGGATTGTATCTGGGCGCTAAGAAACTTGGCTCTTTAGGTTCTCTTAATGGTGGTGGTTCTAAGTCTTCATCATCAAGAACACAATCTGGGGAACTGTTTAATGAGCTTCTAGGAGACGGTGAACATCCTCCAACTGAGGATCTTTCGTAGTTACCGTTCGCAAGACACGTAATTTCGTGTGCATGGTTATCAAAAACATAAGGTGAGTTGGGGTGTTCGCTCCATCTTTCGACGAAGAGTCGAAGATTGTCTTTTGCGACGTCAAGCTCGTGTTTGGCTGGCTGCGGGGTCGGCTGGGGCAACGGGGGCGGCTGTCGTCGTGCAAGCCAGCGGTGGCGAAGGCACTCCGTCGCACCCGGTCGTGACCTGCGACAAAGACCCTTGTTACTAACGCCCAACACCTTGAATTGAAGTTATGGGAGTGAAATGGTGATGTAAGTCTACTTTTAAAAGCGAGAAGCTACTTTCTACGGTACAATAGTTGTGTAAAATACTCATCAATAGGGTACGAAAGTGAGCGTGCACTCTGAGATAGGAAAGTTTGGAATTGATTATGGGTTAGCTAGGAAAAGATAATTAATCGTGTGTCATGCACTTATCGGGTTAAGTAAGTATGAGTTATAAAATCTAATCATAGCTCTACAACTAAATATATTATTAGCTAACTACATTATAAGTATTAATCTAAGAAACAATCGTGCAATGTTTACAAATGTTGTGTTAGTTACTAAGTGTTGGATAATACAGTAACAAGGGGTCTTTATCGAGGCTGGTTTAATACAGCTTTTTATCAACCGCTATTGATAAACGGATTTAATAAGTTACAAGGCGCGGAAAAAGTGACGATAAATATAAAAGTTTCGTATATTAATAAAGATTTTTTCGTAAAGTTCAATAATAATTTTGTACTGATTTATTTACAAGACCTGAACCTTATAGAACAATTTTGAATCTTAAGATATCTTCAATCATTATTTTTTATTCGAATTCACACTCCACTCATCCACTGTTTGAGATTGTGGTAACCCAGTGAATTCTAATTGAAATGTCTATAACATGGTTTAAAGATGCTAAGTGAATTGGTTGAAAAAAAGGCCAGGTTTTTTGGCTTAAAAATCCTTGTATATCACAACTAAAACAATCAAGCCAACTTACTCTTTGTCCTTCACTAGCAGCTTATGGATGAAGTCCTTGGCGTCTTCAGAGATTTCGTTGAAGGCTTCATCGTCGAAGTCATACTTGGCTACTGTGACGTTCGCCATTGTTTCTATGTCGGTCTCGCCCATGAATGGTGACAGGCCTGAGAGTCTAGAAAAAGAAAGGCATATTGTAGCAGCTAAAGATTTGATATGAATGATGATGGCAACCTTTAGTCTACCCTTGCGATAGTAAGGAGAACTATGCATCAGCACAAATGGGCAGTCTCGACCAGAGATATACCACGGTCTCACAATAAACCTATTCATCTCGTGAGTGTCGTAAGAGCCGACTAAGGGAGTGAACTACGCAGGACAACAGCACTGCAAAGAGATGGAACACTTGAAAAAAACTCTATACCAACCCGTCTAGCCAGCGTGGAATAGTAGGCCAAAACCTCCTTTCTAATGAGAGGCATTTGTCCAGCAGTGAACTATTAAAAGCTGTTGATGACAGAAAACCAGTGTTAATCATATTTTTCGTTGGTCTGTTGGTCTGTCCGAGTCTGTGAGGTTATTGGAACCCAAACCCTCCCTCCCCTTGATTCAGGGGGAGGGACTCAAAGGCCGGCCACGTACTTGTAACTCTTCAGATGCAGGTGTCAATGAGTAGCGGTAGTGACTTATCATCAGATGACCCGTGTTCTCGTGTGCCTCTTATACTGGAAAAAAACTATTTTGTTACGAAAAATAGTTTTTTTTCCACACGATGACTTTCGAATCTTCGAAACTTAGGGTAGAAGGACTTTTCTAATAGTGCTAGTAATAAATTATAACAATATTAAATTAACAACAACCAACTAACTGTGTATTAACTACTATACCTCGCTGGCTAGAAGGGTTGGCCTCTGCCTATGTCCAGCAGTGGATTATTAAATGCTGTTGATAATGGTGAATATATGTATATTAAGTTAAAATATGAATATTATCAGTTCTTTACGCCTCGTTTTACGTATGTTTTGGTAACCTACACTACTAAGGATTAACAGCGAAACACTAATACGCGAATACTTACAGAACATAACAAATAACTCCGACCGACCACATGTCAGTACCATAACCGATTTGGTCGAAATTCACGACCTCCGGGGCAACGAACTCAGGAGTACCGAACAAGACCTGTAGCTTCTTCTCAGGGTCGTAGAATCGTGCGAGGCCAAAGTCAATGATCTTGATGCGGTTGCCCGACTTTGTTAAGCACAGGATGTTTTCCGGCTGCAAGAAATGCGACGCGATAAAATAATGTTGTTTGAATAATGATTTTTCTTAGGGGAAACTATTTAGGGGAAATCAAACAAGTTGTCACTGACTCTGTGTCAGTGTTTGTTGGAAATGGATTATTTGCATTTGTCAGTACAGTCATGGGGAGAACTACAATTTTAGCTTTGTTACATGAGTCATTCTTATGTAACCATCTGAATATTTTTATGAGTACTCATACAGCTTTTAGTTATAATAATATTTGCCTGTAATAAAGGTCAATCGGTATAGTTGAATCATATTATGTAACTACTGTATTTCAATGAGCTACATACATCAAAGAAAAATGTAGTATGTAATGGAGAAGATGCCGATTGCTGGTAGTTTTCAGAAGTCTTAAATGAGAAGAATTTTCTGCCTCAAACTGGTTGTAATTTGGACTGGAATAAGGTCAATAGCTAAATAGAGTAATAATAAAATTACATATTGGTTATTTATTGTGCTCTATTTTTTTTTAATATTTTCAAATCAACTTTTGTTTTTATAGCAATAAGTATAATTCCTGGCCTTTTTCTTGGACCATTGGGCTTAGTAAATATTTGGCTTTTTAGTTAGCAGAGCATAAATGTAAAATATTCTAAAGAATTTAATTTTTAAACTAATGATTATTTTATTTCTGCTTAAACAGCTCAAGTTCAGCAGCACCCTACGAAAAAGAATATTTAAAATTATCATTTTGATCTGTGAATTAAAGTGTCTGTGAGTGTGTATATCAGTGTTTGTGAGTCCAATACCTTCATATCCAAGTGTAAGATATTCTGGCGGTGCACGAACTCGATACCCTCGCAGATCTGTCTCATGAACACCGTACATGCCCGCTCAGTTAGCACGAAGTCCTCATCAATGACGCGTTCGAATAGTTCCCCACCAGTTATACTGAAAAGAAACAACTTTTTATTAAACATAGATAATTTTGAGATAGGTAGCACAAGATGAACCACTGGCAAATATAATCATTTAAAAATTTCCAACACTCTTTAAATCAAGAACAGTTAAATAGCAATATAGTTCTTTCTATAAACAAGAAAGATGAAGTGATAAATTAGAGAACTTCTTCCCAGGAACCTAACCACCTGGTCAAAGTGCCATCGAGCACTTGGATGGAGGCTGTGTGAAACCGCATTACGGATATCGAAAGCCACTTGGCCTGGAACGTTTAGTGAACGGTATGACGATGAAGATTATAAGAAAATGTGATGACAATATGTGTTGATCTTATACATAATTATGTATACATATATATATACGATTATAAGTTTTATTTTTTTGCCAAGAATATGGAGTTACATTTTACATTTATCGCAATAACACACCTAAGAGTATTTGCATAGTGAAATGATTCTTAATACACGATGAAGTTGCCGGTTCGGATAGATATGAATATTGATTACTTTTTATCAATGTTTATGAAACAGCTGTTGTTATGTATAAAATGTTGGTGTGTAAGTATCGAGTTAATTAGTTTTTTACGTTATCGCTTCAACTAAAAAGAAATTAAGTATTTAGTGATAACATTTCCTATATTTATTAAACCATCGTGTATGGCGCAACGGTAATTGTATGGCACAGGCATTAAGAACAATATAATCCGTGCACGATAAGTTGAGACTTGCGTTGAATGCGATTCCCCCTTCGAGCGCCCACGTTGTACTGTAGGCAACGCCATTTTTTTACTAACATATTGGTCTCGTACTGGCCTACACCTACGTCACGTAACGACTTCGCATTCCTATTGTTGTTACATTTTGTTGTTAATCTTGTTTTCGTATTATTATTAGACTTTCTGTTGCATTTTGTTGTTAATCTTATCAGAAAAAGATACATAAATACATCTCATAATTAGTTAAAATTCTGAATTAAATACATTGAATTTTATTACTACTTTATCTGTGTTATTTTTTACATTAAAAATAGCATAGACGAAGTCGAGTGAGAAAGCTTGTAGTGCTACTTTATGTGCACTGTGACGTCACTGCGTTCAGGTCTCAAGTTATGGCGCTCGCATTATACCGACGGTAATATCTCAGTATTATTGTAAAGCAGGCCGAATGCTGCAACGCGAAATGGCAGTGACAGTGACACTGACAGTGTTTACAGTGATGATTGTTTAGGTGGAGAGAGCGAAAAAGCGTAATAACCATATTAAATAAATAAGTAAGTTACTTTAATGTTAACCCTCTTAATAAAACACAGTGCAAGTTTAAGGTCACTGATTGTCTCCAAAGTTTGGGATATAAGGAAACTGAGGAAGTCTCAGTAGTATATCTTAGTATCTATGTGGGCAACTTTGACACATTGAAATTAGTATAGTGTATAGTCTTCATTTAAACATAAGATTTCTTAACCAACCAACTCTTACCTCAAACACATACACATCCTCTCAAACACACCACAACACACACGGACACCCAAACACATACACGTACACACACACACACACACACACGCACGCACACTTGTACACACTTACACGCAAAGAGAGGTTCACTTCACACATTTCATTTCATTCATATTTGATGTATGGTCATACTATAGAATTTTTGTACTATATTTGACAAACATATTCTTTTAATGCTAGTTAAATACAGGTTTTTTACCTAGTTTGGCAACGGAGCCTCGTTGTAAAAAACCTCTCAGGTTTAATGTGTAAGTTATACTAGTTTTATGTTGAAAAAATTGCATTGTATTTGTACTGGTACAATAAATATTATTATTATTATAAAAAATCAACGAAAACCATAATAATATATGTACTTTGTTCTACAATATAATTTATAACAACGTCAAAATTTTTGATCTTTAAATATAAGGATACTTCTTTAAACAATTCAGTAACTAGCAGAACCGAGAGCCCTTTTAATAATACGTTACAATCATGGACGTATAAAAAAGATACTTTTTTATAAGTCCATGGTTACAACATGTTCAATTTATTAAATAAATAGATAACAAGTTTCGTTGTATTGATTGTAAGAATGAAATGTAAACATAAATAAACATGTTATTACTGACGAAAAACATTCAGAAACACAGAAACGTACATTTTTATTTATAGAAAAACGCGCGAAAAGTAGAAAAGAAGTATGGCTTCGTATGTTTGCCAAAAAACCGTCATGATTCGAAATAAGAATCGACGCGTGAGTTGGCGCCAATATAAACTCGGATTATAGAGGTGGTGAAGGTCGATGTCAGGCTATTTATTATGTTCTTTAGTCGAAGTGTTTGTAACAATGTTCATGTCCATTATTTTACTTATGAGCACTAAGAATATTTCTGTGTTGTGCATCATGAATTACACCCCTGAAGTTATGGGTAGGTTAAGTGATGTCGTCTTCTTCCTGTACATAGCCTCAACACAGCGTGTTACTATTCTGATTATTTTCGAAAATACTAAAAAAAAATCCTCTTCTAATGACATCAAAGTCAATCTTTGCATGGGGTTTTTGCAATCTTTGCTTTGTCAATCTTTATCACTTATTTAACACATTTTAAAACCCTACCTACTGCCGGAGCAACAGAGAATTTGTTATATAGGGAGATTTCGTAAATAAGAAATTCCAAGGTGGTTCAGTGAAACCGGTTACGATATTGTTGATTAATTCCGTGACTGTACATTTTGCATGGGCTTTCCCCTGTGGGCCGTATAGTGATATTATAGATTTGATGATCGAGGATTATATTACATTTTTTTTTAACTGTGTCTACTCCTTACTAATAACTGTAGCTTCAATACACCTAGACTACTATTGTTTCTTCTCATTTACTGACGATAAGGAAATGTGCCAGGTTTGAAATCGCACCTTTAATAATAAACTGAATTAATTCAAAATTTACGTTTTTCGAGTTTTCAACAAATACCAAATCAACTTCATTAGTAGAACACGAACAATCCAACAGCCGACTCGATACCATGAAAATGGCAGAGATAAGAGATCGTCGTTCTCTTTTTGACGAACTCGCATGAGTCTCTTTGACTCGACTCTTTTTGACTCGAATGTCAAACTTTAAATGCGATTTCCCACAATATTGAAATTCTAAGTTAATTCAGTTTATGATTAAAGGTGCGAAATATTGCGTATAATATAGAATATTTATACAAACTTTATACTTCAGTAATAATACTAAACTCTAAACAATAATTGTAAAACCGAAATAGTCGATGCAACTATTTACGGTCTCTGAAGGTATGCGTATTTGTGGTTTGCAGACGTTCACCGGAGGCTGTTTAGAACTTTTTAAAATGCACTTTTGGTTGACTGTAGAGGCACGGTACAATTATAATACAGTATTGTAACTCGGCCGCATGATAGAAATAAATGCCTACAGCCGCGCGGTACGTAAACATGCGTTAGGGCTGCCCGTCTCCAGCATTTTAATTATATTTGCCTACTTTCTGTTTCTATTTAGATTTGTGATTGTAAATATCCTTTTTATATAAATAAATGAAATACTTTGTATATTGAATAGGAAGTGCTCAATAAAAATGCGTGTTGTTTTTTGATTGGTAGATTTAATTATTTTATTTTCTTTCTGCATTGGAGGAGTTCAAGTTTCAATTTTCTTTTTCTTGGAGTGTTGCTAGAGATACTCGTTGAGGTTTGAGCAAAGATTTCATTTGTTGCATTTTCAGTCTGTGTACTATTTTCATTTCCTACCAACGGAGCAGTTTGGGTTTGTTTATCTTCTTTTAGAGAGACTCCTGGATCAGTACTAGCTAAGCTTGGCAGCATCAACAATGGTAGGGCATTCTTTTTTAAAAGTTTTCTATTTGATGAATGTAATACATCCTCCAAATTAAAATGTTTTTCACAAACTTGGTAGGAACTAAAGTTAGGTTTGTTTTCCAAATCATCTCGCCGGATCAATTGCAACCATTGAAGACGTCTGAAAAAAAAAATACATGTGGTACTCTCGGAGACTGCCGCGGTAAAGCTATTGCATAACATTTTTTTTTTAAAGAAAAAAATCTGCGTGGTGTCAGGTATTTTTCGTTAGGTTTTGAGAATTTCTTGATTCGGTCACCGCGCCGCGCCGCGTTCAGAGCCCGCGATAAAAGCTATGCAATAGCTTAAAAATCCTTCTATATGATAAAAAAATGTGCTTTCTTCTTACGCGTTACAAAACTCCAATCCTTAGAAACTCCAACACCTACCTACTCAACTAGAATGCAAGAAACAGCTGACGAGTAAGTAACTTTTTATCTCAGCTTATTAACGTCTCTATAAATTAGGTACCTACCTACAACTCGCAATAACTCAAAACAAAAATTCTTTGGTCAAAAAATTAATTAATTATTAAAAAGCTGAACAGCTGACTACGAATGTTTTAATATCACAACCCTCAAACATCTAAATATTATATATAAGTCTAGCTGTTGTTGTTAATACCGAGAAAATAAAACCAGTTTTTAGTGGTATATGTTGTTATAGTAGCAGCAGAAACACTTTGTGAAAATTTCGAAAACTATCTAATGACACACAGACGGTAAAAAAAAATTCTAGTATTATTCATACACACAGATAATAAACAAATATTATTAATAATAAAATACCACGTCTTTACTTTGAATTATGCAAAGTAACAAAACACACATGCACCGAAGTTTTAACACAAGCGTAAGTAGGTAGGTACCTACCGTATCATGATTCATTCAGAACCGCATATAACCACCTATTTCACTCGTCTCAATAACTTTCCGTTACTCTATTCGCTTTATTTATTAATCGAAACACCTTTTTTTTCGTGAGATAAAAGGAAATACTTATCCATTAAAAAGACACACATAATGTACCTACCTACTAGTAAGTAAAATTATTTTATAGTCTTACCTTTCCGAGTTTCCAGGTAATTTAAAAAAACCTATGTCTGGATGCGTT